GGCGACCTTGACCCAGACGCTGTATCCTCATCATCTTTGCTCGTGACGGAGGCAGGTTGGCGGGCTGCAAGAGCCGCTCACCAGCCCTCCCCGTGCAGGCCAGGTTCCCCCCGCCCGGGCTGCACCCCTGCTCCCCGCCTCCGCCCACGCCCTTGAGGGCAGATGGAGAGAACCCCCGCTCCCCAACCCCCGGTCGGTTCATCCACACATGTATTATTCATTCGTTCATTCAAATATTTATAGGCAACTCATTATTCTGAAATCCGGTAAATAAAGGGAGGGAGTCAGGCATGTCCTGTCTGTCCTGTGTAAACTGTACCTCCGGGTAACCAAATGTGGGATGAGGGGATGTTTCTTTTTATAGAAGCATCCCAGCTAACAACGGGAGAAGAAAGCAGGACTAGAAGGCCACCGTGGAGCAGCCCTCACTCCATGCACGGCTCTGGGCTCTGGGCTCTGAGCTCTGAGCGTCCGCAGCCTGCAACTTCACAAGAGACGGCCGGCGGGACGAGGCTTCCCAAGGGAAGGGCACACGGGACCCCGAAAGCGATCTCAGCCAAACAAACGGAGCTGGAATCTGATCAAGCCAACTGATCAAGCTGGCTATGAATTTGCAGCAACTACCAAGGACAGAGAAACACACTAAGGAACACCAGTGGGACGCAGTCAGCCAAATCCGGACAGAGGGGACTCCGGAAGTGACGAGCCAGGTTCTTTACCGGATGAACTACAAGAGGGCAAAACTTGACGGGGGCGGGGGGGACCTAGACCAAGAGAGGCCTCAAAGGCATCAACCGAAGGCAGGGCGAGGACCTCATCTGAATCTTGGTTCAAACAACCTCTGAACTCAAACAAGCAAATACTATGTCTGTTCACGAGACAGCTGGAAATTTGAAGACTGTATCTGACGATCTGAAATTAACGTTGATTAGGCGCGGCCATGGTGTTGGGGTTCTAGTTCTTTAAAGTCCTTATCTTTTTGAGACACAAGCCGAAGTCTTTACAGATGAAATTATCTGGTGTCTGGGATTTGCTTCGGAATAGCACGGAAAGGAGGCACGTGGCCGGAGTCACCGATGAAACCAGAGAGGCCACGAGTTGCTAACTGCCAACGCTGGGTGACAGGTATATGGCGGTGTTAGTTTCGCATGCATGCTGCAAATCCTGCGTGACACAAAGGAAGCAAGAGTGCTCTAGATTCTGATACGGGAAGATTTCCAAGGAGTATTGTCAATGCGTGTAAAAAGCAAATTGCAGAATGCTGCGTGTAGCAGAATCCTGTTTTTATTAAAATGTGCAAAATAACATATGTATATATAGGGTCCCTGTTATGTGCCAGGCTCTGGGCTGGAAACAGAGAATGGAATGGTCAACAAAGCAGGTGGGGTCCCTGCCCCGGTGGAGTATAGAGTCTAGGAGGGCAATGATTGACACATCAGTGATGGGGGAGGGGGGAATTTCAGGGCAGTGAAGCCGTTCTGTGTGGCACTGTCATGGTGGATGCAGGACACTGGGCATTTGTCCAAACCCACAGTGCTGATAATGACACTGAGACTGAGCCCTGATGTAAACCTGCGGCTCTGGTTAATAATAATAACAAGGCACCACTGCTCATCGGCTGTAACAAATGCAACACATGTAACAAAAAAAAGCTGTTGCACATGGTGTATGGGAGGGGGGTGCTGTGTACAGGGAGACAGGGGGTATTTGGAACTCTCTCCACCACGGGCTCAATTTTCCATAAGCCTAAAACTGCTCTAAAACCCGAAGTCGATGAATTTAACAACGGTAATCGTGCAAATCTTTAATTAATGGCAATGGTTATCGGGGCCCAAGCATCATACCCAGGAGGGGGTATCATGGCGGGAGGGGGTCCTAACTTCGTCTTGGGGGAGGAGGATGGGCTTCCAGGAAGAAGGGTTTTAAGCTGAGGCCTGAAGGTGGATCAAGAGTTTGCGAGGCAAGGAGGAGATGCTATTCATACAATGTTATATTACATGTGTCATTAAAGGCTATTTCAAACCGTGGGGAATGTTCCTAATACAAATGAAAAGACCACGCTCACAGAGCACGTACCGTGGGCCAGACCGCATCTCATCCAAGGCTTTAATGACCACGGGAGTTGGCCCCACTGTCACCTTCATTTTACGGACCAGGAAAAGGAGGCCCAGAGACGTTAAGTATCTCGCCCAGAGTCACAAGTTGACCACAGATATGCCTGCGACTGGAACTCAGAGATACTCAACTCCAGAGTCCCACAGGCGAATATGGGGTAGGATGTGGATCGGAAACAAGCAGGTTACTGAGCTGTACGTGAGAAGAGTTATAAGCTGATTGTGTCCCCTAAACCCACATGTTGAAGGCCTAGCCATTCGTGCGACCATGTGTGGACACGGGGCCTTGAGGGAGTAATTAAGGTTAAATGAGGTCATAAGGGTGGGGCCCTGGGGGCCTCCAGGGAGGAAGGACACCAGAGCTCTCTCCCCACCGAGTGACGACACCTGAGCAGTCGGTCGTCTGAGCCAGGAAGTGGGGCCTCACCAGAAATCAACCCTGCCTGCGCCCGAATCATGGGCCTCGAGCCTCCAAAACTGTCCGGAAAGCGAGTGTCCGTTGTGTAACCCAGCCAGTCTGTGGGGTTCGGTTACGGCGGCCCAGGAGGACTGACACACGCAGCCTCCGGTTACCCTCAAAGTACATCTATCCACACCCAAACCACCGACAGAAAGGGCACCTGGGCATCACTGTGGTTGTCCCAGGTCGGGAGGGGATGGGATGATGAATGGTTTCTATTTTCTTCTCTGTCACTTGGCACGTTTTCTACACTATCGTGAGCAGGTATTACATCTACGAGCAGATGACAAACGTTAGTTTAAACCGGGCAGTCAGGCCAGGGTGGGGAGGGGCTGGTTGCTGAGCTCACACAGGCCTTTCCTCTGGGGGAGAAGTGGGTCCTTCAGGTCTCAGGGGGGCTGTTTGGGAAACCCTGTTCCCAGTCACCTACCTCCCATTGTTTGTGACTCAAGTCTCGGGTCCAAGGACAGGGGCGCCTGAGTGGGTCTGTCGGCTCAGCTCACGATCTCACAGTTCGTGAGTTCGAGCCCCGCGTCGGGCTCTGTGCTGACAGCTCAGAGCCTGGAGCCTGTTTCGGATTCTGTGTCTCCCTCCCTCTCTGCCCCTCCCCCACTCACGCTCAGTCTCTGTCTCTCTCTCTCAAAAATAAATAAACATTAAAAAAAAAAAAAGAGTTCTGATGCAGACAAAGGTGCTGTCCCTGGTGTTAGCAGGTCTGAAGGCTGTATTCTTTTATTTTATTTATTTATTTATTTTTAATGTTCATTCTTGAGAGAGACAAGAGTGTGAGCAGGGGAGGGGCAGAGAGAGAGGGAGACGCAGAATCGGAAGCAGGCTCCAGGCTCTGAGCTGTCAGCACAGAGACCGACGCGGGGCTCGAGCTCGCCACCCTGGGATCGTGACCTGAGCTGAAGTCAAGAGCTGGACACAACCGGCTGAGCCACCCGGGTGCCCCAAGCTTATATTCTTTCAACTCCTGCTCCCCCGCACAGCCTGGGCCCTGACCCTGTCGAGACTCTACTGCAGCTCGGAGCTGAACACACGCAGCCTGAAAAAAGCCTGTTCGGTCTTTCTCCGGAGCTCCAAACCACAGCCGCGTACACACCGTGGGCCCACCACGGGCTCTGCTCCCAGGAAGGCACAGGGACACGGGCAGGCACCTGTTGGCATTGGTGACTCTTCCTCCTGGGGACACTAGACCCCAGAGACAGTCCCTGGCAAAGAGAGGTCCTGTGCTTAAGCTTACCCGTCAGCACATACGCTTCCCTAATGCCAACACCCTTCTCCCCAACCCCCCCCCCACACACACACACAGCGTGCATTAGCGTATCACAGGCTCTGACAAGTTCTGCAGGAAAGAAGACCTATCTTTGTCTAGCAAAAGTTTGTTTGCAGAGTGTATTTGACCTCAGAAGATTTTTTTCCCCCCTTCTGAATTCCTATTGAACATCCCACTGTACTAGCTGGAGAGGAACACCCCAGCTGTGTGGAACCAGGAGTGTGTTCCATGCCTCTGGTCTGAGGACGGGATATTTTTAGGTATCAGCTACCTAAAGAAACGATGGCCACCTCAACCTTGGGTGAGAACACTGACCTTGGCTTGTTCAGAATGCATAAAGACCAGCTGAAGCTGAGAAGCGTATGGTAACGAGGGTAGCAGGGGGTCTGGGGTGTCAGGGCTGGACATTCCTGTGGGGTCCAGGCTGGGGAGAAGCCAAGGCCACGTAGCCGGCTCCTCCGGACCGCATCCTGACCCCAGCTCCGCCCCAGTCCCGTGCTGGCCCCTCCCACACGCCTCCTCTCCCACAGCTGTCTTGGCTTCTCCACCCTCCCTGGCTGAGCCCTGGAATGAGCTCGTGCCTCCTCCCGCAAGGAGAGTAGTTCCCTGCTGGGCATGGCTGTCAGGAGAAGCCCACAGAGCGGGGGGAAGCCTCACCAGGGCTGGCACAGAAACGGGGCCCAGTCAGTGGAGGTGCTGCTTCGTCTGCCTGATTTTGCGGGAAGCTCTGGGTGTCGCTGGCTCTGTGCGTGTGCGTGCGCGCGTGGGGCTCTCTCCCTCTCTCTATGTCTCTCCATGTCTCTGTGTCTCCCCCGTCCCCGTCTCTGTCCAGCAGGTGTCCTGATCCTGCTTTCCTCTGGACCTCGGCGCAGGCCGTTCCCTCCACCTGGCGCCCGCTGCCAGGCCCCGCCCCCTTCTCCTAAAGCCAAGGGCTGGCAGAAGGGTC